GTGACCACATTCCGTTGCCACATTTCATAGTTGGCGTCTCTCTGATAAGTCACTATAGTGGCAATTTGACAATAAATTAAAATCTAAAATTTAATCAATTATCATACCTCATTTCAATAAATTCATTAACATTTTTTTTACAAAATGAAATTTGACTCTATATGCCAAAATTCATACTTATAGATGAGTTTTTATATGGTTTTGCACTGATCCAATAACTACTATTGGTTTGGACTTTGGACTAAACCTCGAGAAATACATGAGTTTCTAGAACTAGTTTGACTAAAGTCAACAAAAATCAAGACTAATTATAGAACAAGATGAGACTCAAATGGGTAAACCAAAAAAAAAATGCAAATACCTATAATATATATATGGCCATTTTGATTAAATTTTAGTTACGTAAAAAAAAATATTAGTTAGATAAGAGTCCAATTTACATTGACTAACAAAATAATAAATAAACTCTATTAGAATACTTTATATACTCTCATATCTATATATGAATTTTTTAAATTTAATAAAAAAAAACCAATAATTGATCCGTAACTTTTCAAATTCAAAAAATAATGTTAAATAGAATATCCGGTATGCTATATTATATATCGAAGTAACTGGTTACGGTCCATCCAATATTTTCTCAACCAGATAGTGAATAGAGTTCATCGAACATTTCTAATGATCAACTTATGATATAATTTTTTTCTCAAAGAGAAAAAAAAACCCTTATGATATCATTTATACGATCATTTTTTATGATCAAATTAAGATGATATACGTAATGTATACACGTAGATGCATATGCAATGTATCCAAAAAGAGAAATGATTTAGAAGACTCAAAATTGGGAAAATGGTCCCATGTTCCTAACAGGTAGGAGATATCTCTATCATAGAGAAGCAATGGATTGGACACGTACACGTACCTCACCTCCCAACCTAAACCCTTTTTTTTTTCTTCTCGTCTAGTTTTAGTCTCCCCCTTTTTTGTTGGGACCCTTCTCCATCATAACTCACATGTCTCACTAACTTCTTGCCTATGAGCTTCGTCTCTATGCCTATGAGCTGCACCCCGTTTTCCCTCTCTTCTAAACTAGTCTCCTTCTCTATATATGTGTTGGTGATTTTCTATATATTCGCCATTTGTGTTTATGTAATTGGTAACCTACAAAAACATTAGAATGGTAGAATTATCACGTAATTAAATGTCGTCATGCATTGTGCGCGGATATAATAAATTAAAAAGTATAAGTAAAAATGTAGAACATTGTGGTTTTCAGACGATTGTTTAAAATATTATTTTTTTACCATTTCATCATTTTACATTATGAATCATCTCGTATTTTTTTTTTTTTTACCTTATTATATACTTTTGTGTCACAGCTCAACAATGGAGAAATTTGCTTCGGAATCAGAGGCACTAGCATATAAGTTGGCAGAGGTTCTAGCAGAAAAATCGGGACGAAAATCAAATTTCTTCAAAGAAAACTGTGTAAGAAACACATGTTATCTAAGGATGAACCGATATCCACCTTGTCCGAAACCATCGGAGGTGTACGGTTTAATGCCACACACGGACAGTGATTTCCTCACAATCTTGTATCAAGATCAAGTTGGAGGACTCCAACTCATTAAAGACAATAAATGGATAGCCGTTAAACCTAATCCTCGTGCTCTCATCATCAATATTGGTGACTTATTTCAGGTAAATTAATCAAAGCTAAAAAGCTTTTAATTACGGATGTTCAATCTTGATTTCGGTTCGGTTTTCTTATATTTTCGGTTTATTAATCATAGTATCCAAAACAAAATTTATTATAGTTCGGTTTCGAATTTTAAGCAAATAATATATTTGTGTTTTCTTAGGCATGGAGCAATGGCATGTACAAAAGTGTAGAACATCGTGTGATGACGAATCCAACGGTGGAGAGATTCTCAACGGCTTATTTTTTGTGTCCATCATACGACGCCGTTATAGAGTGTTCAGGTGATCGTCCTGCTTACAGAAATTTCAGCTTCAGAGAATTCAGACAACAAGTTCAAGAAGATGTTAAGAAGCTTGGTTTTAAAGTTGGTCTCCCTAGGTTCCTTAACCTTCTCTATTAATTTATACACTCCAAAGTTTTATTTTTATTTTTACTCACTTTAATTAGGGTTTATGATTGATTTGATTGTTATTGTTTTGATTTGTTTGTTTTCATAAAATTATTGTTGATTTTTTTTCCTTAATAAATATGGTCATTCTAGAAAAATAGATTATCAATTACACCAAACTTTTTTTTTTCTTTACAATATTTGGTTTTAATTAAATATTTTTTCGTGTAGCTGAAGGATAAATTTGAGAAAAGGAAAACTAAAACTCTCGATAAATATATGTGAAAAACTAAGTTCTAATATTAAGTAATAAGTAAATAAAGAGTGAAGCTTAATAAATGTATCATTTGGAATTCTTCAAACGAGTTTGTTGTATTGTACTTTCTACCTTTTGTTAAGTAGAAAGTTTTTTTTTTTTAAATCTACATTTTATTCAAATTGGTTGTACTACCAAATTAAATGTATGGACTGCATAAATTAAAAACATAACACTAATTTTTTTTATTAAACATGAATATATTTTGTTGTGAAAAAGATAAATTTAAAAGAAACACAGGAATTGTTTCTATGCAAAGTCTTTTTTTGGAGGATTCCAGCTCAGCGTTTTTCCGGTTTGATTAG